TAGAACTAAAACTGAATACATGGAATGTAATTTTAGTAGTAATAGCTCTAGTGACAGAAGTGTGACTTTGGGTGATCTAATTATTAAAAGGTGTGAACGATTTAGATATCTTGGGTCCGTTGTCCAAAGCGATGGTGATATAGATGGGGATGTTAATAGTAGAATTCAAGTTGGTTGGTTGAAGTGGAGGAATGCTTCGGGCCTTTTGTGTGATAGGAAAGTATCGCTAAGACTGAAAGGAAAATTTTATAAAACGGTGGTGAGGCCTGCAATGCTCTATGGCGCTGAATGTTGGCCTTTAAAAGAGAAGCATAATAATAAGTTAAGTGTTGCCGAGATGAGAATGATTAGGTGGATGAGTGGCTTTTCACTTAGAGACAAAATGCGGAATGAATATATTCGTGATAGGGTTGGTGTAGCTCCTGTGACAGACAAAATTAGAGAAAGTCGTCTTAGATGGTTTGGTCATATTAAACGTCGACCATTAGATGATCCGATTAGGAGAGTAGATTCGACTTGTGTTAAGAAAGGCAGAGGTAGACCTAGGAAGACTTGGGCTTATTGTATTAAAAATGATCTTAATTTACTAGAACTAAATGAAAATATGACACTAAATAGGACGCAATGGAGAAAAAGGATTCATGTAGCCGACCCCACGTAGTGGGATTCAGGCTTTGTTGTTGTTGTTGTTGTTGTTGTGGCGGTCTAAAACACGTAGTAGGCAAAAAGTTGTCCCCAGTAGACTCTTAACCCTAAATCTCATGGGCCTTAACGATGTCAACATTTTTGCAATGTCAGAGACTCAGAATTATGGTACTTGATATGATGTTTATGTTACATAAAGTTAACTGCACGTTGTCCAATTACCAATGCAATTGTAGTGGATCCAAATCCCGCATATACAAGAGTATGGAAATACTATAAATTTGAATATTTGCACAACGGGAAAGTTACCTGGTGCGTCTTTTTCTTGACAGTTCACACAATTGTTTATAATCATATGGTTATTTGTTGATTCTCATCTTTATAGAAGAGTTCTCAAATTACTGTGAAACCAAGTTTTATATTATCAAATCTTAGCCTACCTTTTATATTGACAACCTTAAGCTTGCCTGCTAGAAATTTTTTTATTTTACTCAAATTTTAGTTTATTTCTTGTTGTTTTACTAAAACCACATTTCTTCCATTCAAAACGTTCTTCCTTGATACTGGAATGTATTCTGCCATGCAGGTTTCAAGCGGTGGCTTATCTGCAGCAAATGTGGTGGGTTGAGGTGAATGGATCATTAAAATTTCCATTTCCTGCTGGCATGTATAGCCTTTCAGTCAGGCTGCACCTTGGAAGATTTTCAAAGCGGCTCGGGCGCCGTGTTTGTAATTATGAACACACCCACGGCTGGGAAATAAAGCCCGTCCGCTTTGAGATCACCATTTCAGACGGCCAACGATTGTCACAGGGCTGCTTCTTGGATGACTATGAAAAAGATGAGGCAAATTGTAACAGCAAGCGCGGCGTCTGGATAGATTATCATGTAGGCGACTTCGTTATCAGCGGTTTCGATATGGTGGAAATAACGTTTTCAATGAAGCAGATTGACTGCACGCATTCGAAAGGGGGTCTTTGCATAGATTCTGTTTCAATTATGCCTAAGGAGAACCCGCTGAATGAACCCCTGCTGAAGTAGCAGTATCCTGCATTGACAAATTGAAGTTGGCAAGTGTGCATCAACACACAAATTTGTTGCAGCATAATGAGTTGCCGGCATGGTTTAATTAATCACAAAGGGAGCTCCTCTATTCTCATTCAAGAAGTTCTGTTGCTTAATTTTCCCCCAGTATTTTTTTGGCATATGTGGGTTTCATTGGACTGGCATTTTTTTTTTTTGGTTTTGCAAGGTTTACATGCATACTACTCAATTCCTATATATTTACATGCCTTAACCGCTAAACTTCAATTTTTACATATAAATGCCACATTATCTTTGCATGAAAATGTATATTTCAGTTCTTGAAAGTTAAAAATAATGATATTTTTTATGTGATATGAAAGATTTGGGTGGTATTAATGTGAAAAGTAATGTTTTGGTATTAGATATGTAAATACGTGGGAATTGATGGTATGTATGTAAATGACCCATTTCTTTGTCTTAGTTGAACTTTAAAGCTAGGTTATCATAGGAATACACAAGCTTTACCACATTTTTTATGTGATATGAAAACAACAATCCTATAAGCAAAAGAACTATTAGCCTAATGAGGTTGTCGTCTCTTACTGTTCTATTTTTTGGCTGCAAAGCTAAACCCTAAACTCTAGAAAGCAGTACATACATGCCACTTCATTCCTATGTATTTTCATATCTAAAGCTCAAATTTTAATTTTTAGATGTCACTTGAAGCAAAAAAATGTTCGGTAGTCTGGATACCGCGCGTCAGGATGAGCAATCACCGGCGGTCACGTTGTCATACCCTTCATCGGCGGGCGACGTGGCCACCGGTGATTAGCCGTTTCGGCATGCGGATGTCCAGATGGAAGATAAATGCAATAGCTTTTTAGGATGTTGAATTCAGTCAGAGTGCTTGTACATGAAATTGATGCATTTTACTTTCTTGGAGATAGAATAGTGATATTGTTTATGTGATACGAGAGATTTAATTAGCCGTTTGGTATGTATGTAAATGCTCCAAACCTCTTATAATATTTAAAAACTAAATAAATATCATTGGTTTGTCCGTTATAAGTGTCGAGTTTTATGAAGAACCAAGTCGGAATAAAAAAATCGTTGTTTGAGAATGATTAAAATTGTCAATAACTTGGAACTTGTTTGTGACCCAAAAGTTAGCACTAATTTAACCATTAGATGAAGTCATTTTAGGGTCTGGTCAAGTTGCCCATCTGTGTTTTAATGGGGTTTTTACATACATACCACAATTTTTATGTATATTCATATCTAACATTCAAACATTCAATTTACATGCATACCCTCAAACTTTTAACAACACATCAAAAATATTATCATTACTATATTTTTAAAAGTAAAATATATCATTTCATGCATGAATTTGCAACACTAAGATGTTATAAATGTAAATATCCAACTTTGATTGTAAGATGTATATGGTATGTATGTGAATTTTCTTGTTAATTCACTCAAAGCACTCGTTGATTTGCAGATAGTTATTTTAGTCAAGCGATTAGACTTATTAAAATACTTTCAAACTTCAATAAATAATAAGTCTTTGCCTTGATGTCCAAATTGCATGAAATTAATTTTATAAAATTTAGAAAATTAATAACTAATAATTAAAAATAATTAGGCTAGGTATTGATTTATATTTTTTTCATTTATGGATTTACATACAAGCACCCAACTCTTTTGTATTTAAATATCTAGCACCTTTATTTTTTTATATTTATACTGCCCAAAATTTTTATATCACATAAAAATACCACTATTTTGACTTTTAAAAAGTGAAGTACACATTTTCTTGCAATAGTTAAAATGGCATATATGTAAAAATTAAATTTAGGTGTTAGATATATAAATATATAGAAATTTAGTGGGTTGTATGTAAATCTTACTTTTCAAATTTTTCATTATTCATAAAAGCTTTTAATCGAATAAGAAATTGTGAAAATTGATGATTAACTTAGTAACATACATCCTCATTGATCTTCAGAATATATTGCAAGAAACATAGAATATTATTTTGGGAAATTTAATAGCCTTTTTTTGTTAGAGTCTAATAATTAATATTAATGTTTTAAAAAATCATTTAAAATCATTTAAATTTTGTTTTAATTCATTGCGGGTTAGTATCAGTATCCTTTTTAGTTTACACTATTCTCTTTAAGTGTTGATCACAATGACTCCTGAATTTAATCATAATCCTATTTAATTGAATTTAAAGAAATCTGGTTAGATCTTAGTACTCTTTTGAGATTGATTGTAGTAATGCTAGATGTCCTTCTGCATAGCTACATGTGTTGACCCAAATTGATTTCATATAATAAGCTTGGTTTATGTGGTTAGCATGGTCTATAATAATGATCATATGTGATAAATTAGCTTACCTTAGCTTGACAATGAAATTCATATGCTTATTAACTTTCCTATTGAATCTTAGTTTAGCTAGCGGATTTTTATTATCTTTAACAAACCCTAACATTTCTTAAATATTTTTAAGATGTCTAGTGATCTTACCGTTGATTGATCTTGAAAACACATAAGCAAATTAGATTTTAATTAATTTAGTGAATCTTTATACCAATACATGATCTTAATCTTAATTTTCTAGCCAAACTTCTGATTTCTATTAGTTTTATCAGGATCTCGCTTAAAATTTGATAAGTAAACTATCTTATCTCATTGAGTTATCTAATCTAAAAGTCTTTAATAATATAAATCATTCCTTGATCTTTTATGTTTTAGGTGATCAACCTAAATCGTGTGATATATCCCCTAATTTATTTAATGTAATGTTAGACAAGCTTGACTTTAGTATCTTTTTATTCAACATAAAATTTATCTAATGCCTATTTTACTTTTTTTTTTTTGTACTAGGTCAATTTACACAGGTCCTTTTTAAGTACTTGGTGATTTTTCTTGGTCCAAGTATACCACATCTCCTAGGTTTCAGATAACTAGCTTAGGTTATAACATTTCTAGTTTTGCTAAGTACTTAAGTAAATGGATTAGGCTCTAACATTTTGTAATATCATCAAATACTTAATGAGTTTGTGTAGGCCTTATTATATTTCGATCATCTTAGATTTTAGATTATATGAATAGATTCTGGCCTTATCATATTTCAGTCCTCTTAGATTTTAGATTATAGGACTAGATTTTGTCATACCTTAGTCTCTCTAAGTCCGTAGGTGTTTTTGCCAAGTCCTAGTGTACCCCCCTTCAAATCTCAACTAATTTGCCTAGGTCTCATCTTAACATATCTCTACGGTTCTAGTTGAATGGGTAAACTCTCGTACTCTTGAACCTTAGACAATTGACATATGTCCCATGACATCTTATTCTATCATAGTTTAGATGTTGGTTTAGATATTATCTACTTAAATCTTAGATGATTGTCCTAGCTTAATCCAAGAACTTTTATGCTTTGATGTCAAATTGAGTTTTTATAATGTGTGCCCACTTAGAAAATTGATATTTTTTTAGTTTTATTTATATACCTACATCTTTTAATAAAAAAAAAGCTTATAAGGGATCATGGAATAATGATTTTCATACAAAATTTGATGATTTTTTCAAAGTCAAGGTTTTAAAAATAAATAATCATTATCATATTATGAACTTCTACTAACAAGTAAATGTTTGACTAATTTTCATGCCTCAATAATTGAGGATGTGCTTGGCATAAAATGATGATCTATGTTTAGCTAATAAACAAATATGTAAATCTTGTGATTTAAATGTTAGAATTTATATTTATTTAATCATTTAAGGATAAAAAAATAAATTTGTACGGATTGATTTAACATTAATATCAGTATAACTTAGTTACTTCAATAAATAAGTCGTGGGTCCCAATTTTTAATTAAAATTTTTTTGATCTACCTTGTGTTTAGATTAAGACCATTAGGTATGGATTTTAAATGCTTAAATGGGTTTAGATGGTAAATATTTCTTGATACAATTATAAGACCATGGTGTTGGGCTTTTTTAGTCTTTTATATGATTTCAAGTTTTTTCTCTTGTAATCATTTTTATGATAGATTTTGGCTTTGTGTTTTATCAAAATTATCATTTATAATCAGAACACCTTAACCCAAGTTATGCATGGGCTCATGCAAGTGCACCTATTGTGTAAGTAATACACTGGATATGAATCTGAAATCATTCCCACAAGGATTCAATAAAGTAAAATTAAAATCAATACACTAGTTAAAAATCCCTAGTTCGATTCAAGGAATGATAATTTTTAAAATGAGATTTATTTATTTATTTTTAATTTTTTATCTTTTATGAAGTTGTAAAGGTAAGATAAGCTTTATATGGAATATATTTAATAAATTAGATGTTGAAATAGATTTAATCACAATCTTTATCAATCAAAAGCAATACAATATCAGGCATTTGTCAATAACAACAAAAATATTAACTTTTAAAGCCATAAGGCTATATGTCTTTGCTCAAAGTGGTTTCAAATTTTAGTTAAACAAATCTTCTAAGTGATTACAAAGTTTTAAGGACAATATATCTATTTCTATAAAGCAAACTTATGAATCACCATGTGTAAAGAAGGACTCTATCGATATATCAGCTTTACACTAATTTTACCTTTACTAGATGCTAAATTAATTTAGTGATTCATAAATGATGTTTTTAAAATTTAAAAACCATTAAACCTAATTCACAAGGTCCATTTTATAATTTAGAAATCCATAGGAGCAAAATAACTTAGCCTAACATGCTAACAAAATAAAAACACAATATTAAATCCATTTCACAATGATAAAAACGATTTACTAGCTAGTGAATTGCAAATTTCTTGTAATCCTCTCACTTGTAATCCTCTCACTAATTTCCTCTCTTTATTCCACTATGCCAGGCAGTGATCACTATATCATACTTTACGATGGACTCCCCTCACTCACTCAAACTCTCAAATAACACTCAATAGGCTCTCTAATGCTATGAATTATCTCTTTAATGAAAAAAAAGACCTCTTT